TTTTACAGATAAGAAAACTGAGGCTCAAACCTAGACCAAACTGAGGTTGCAAGCCTAGCTCTCTCTAAATCCAAAACTAAGACCCTTGCTTTGACTTCACAGCTGCCCCTCATTTAGGAGCCATTTTCTCCACTTACCAAGCCTAAAATAACAGACATGTGGAAGGGGTAGGGGTGTGTGTGTGTGTGTGTGTGTGTGTGTGTGTGTGTGTGTGTTTTGGCATGGGCTCATAAGCCACTGAGCAGGCTGGAACTCCACCTGTGGGGCTTGGGAGTCAGCATGGAACTGTGTAACTTCCTTGTTGATTTTCTTCCCTTTTCTGTTCCCCTGTGGTTAGAAGCAGTAAAAACCCTCAGCAGCCTCACAAGCACTGCCTGTATGCTGGCTCAGGGCAGGAGAGGGGAAGGGAAAGTGTGGTACAGCTGCCAGAGGCCTGCTTGGGTGGCAGAAGCAAGGACAGGAGCTGGCAGGCCACCATGAGAGTTCCCAGGAAAGGAGATTGTCAGGCCTCCCGGGTCAGAATGTGCAGCCAGTGGGCAGTGGCCAGGGGAAGTTTCCCCCAGAGGGAGGCCCAGTGAGGCAGTGAGTTGGTGACCCAGTGGATTTCAAGCCACTTGGGAATATTCAGAGCACGCCAGGTTGGGAGGTGGGAAGTGGTCATCCCGCATTAAAATGCTGATATACCTGATCATAATTATCAGGAGCAGAGCCAAGGTGAGTGGAAGTCGTGTCAGCAGCCAGCCAGGCAAGGGACTAGAATGGTTGTCACAGTAGAGGTAACCCAGTATCAGACAGGGGAAGAGGGTCCCAATGGCAGGCAAGGTCTCCCAAAGTAAACCTCTGGGGAATCTGACTGCTCTGGAGACTTTGGACCAGCCTGAGAAGTTCAAGAGGATACCTCCGGGACAGGTGAGAAGGTGGGGAACTCAGCAGCTTCAGGACAGATGGGGACTGGGGTAAGGACGACTCTGGAGGGGCATTTTCAGCCAAGCAGGAAATATTCTCAGAGCTTCCCTAGTCCAATCTCCCTCTCTGGAGATGGGAGAGATAACTCCAAAAATGAGGTGTTTTTGAAATAAGAAAGGGAAGGGGAGGTTGCTGAAGGAGGAGCACCGAACTGGAGCAACTCCAGGGGTCACCCCACAAAGCTGCCCTCCATAGCTGGGGGCCATTGGAGGCCGTGAACTAGTCTGTCCAGTTCAGACCACTCTCAGTCTCAACTGTCAGGAGGGAAAACTTGCCACCTCACAAGCTGAGCACTGCCCAGGAAGCCAGAGAGGCTACTAGTGAGCATTCAGAGAGTGACAGAGGTGCATCCAAGAGGGACAAAGGGAAATGCAACCAACTGATGGGGGAGACAGGTTTCCTAGGAATCCTGGCTGTGCTAAGTAGGAGGCAGAAAGCTAAGAGGTAAACAGCCTGGATACTACTGTTAGAAGAAATCGGAACTGTAGTGCGCCTTCTGCTACGGTTAGCAAAGGGCTGCTCCTCCTCAAAGCTGGTACCAGGGATGGGTCATCTGATCAGCCATTGCTACTGTTAGGAGAGATGTTGGTCAGTCCCTCGGTGCAGACCCTCAGAGCGCCAGTGGTGAAAAGCAGCTTAATGACCTTTGGGAAACATGGATAGACAAGCACAAAGATCTTTGTGATTCAAAGGACCACAATATGGCCTGGAGAACTGGGGAACTAGCTAAGCCATCCCCACAGTGGCCAGGGGCTACAGAGGTCAAAGAATAGGCTGGCGGGATAAAGGAATGAGCAGCAGCTGGGAATGCTGGGAAGAACCTGGAAGAAGTTCTGAGGGCAGATGCTTGAGAAAGGGTCCACAGCCCCATTCACTCCAAACTTTGGTTTGCAGTTTGAACAGGGCCTACCAGAGCTGTGTCCAGAGGGCGCATGAGTAAGGCCCTTACCAAGTTCAGATGAACCTGTTCTGGGTTTCCCAGTATTTCTATGATGAAGCTAGGGTAATTCCCACCATCACCCATACCACACATACACACCGCACACACACATAGGCTGAGGTTGGCCCTCCTAGTGATAGCATTATGTAGAATAAAAGCTCATTTTTTTTTAATAGCAAGCATGTGTTGCTCCTTAACTAAGCCCAAGGAAAAGATCCAAGGATCAGTAGTGGGACCACTAGACCCAAGAAATAACTTCCATTCCTGAAACGAAATTGAAGCAAACGATAAGCAATATGCAGCCCTATGCTATGATGGTCCTATGACACTGCCAGCCTCTCCTCAGGCAAAATCCATCACCACCATTAGGTCACAGAGCACCCCGTACTTTGGTCCAAAATTGCCACGGCCCAAAATTGCCACGGCATTATTAATAGCACTAAATGCAGCCCTGCCTCCCTTTGGGCATACAGGCACTCTTTTCCAACTTCATTATAATTCTCCCCAAAGCACATGAATCTGCTTCTGGGCAACAGTGTTTTCATCCACAGCTTTCAGCTGTATATGTTCTGTGGCCATCAGTCACCCTGCTCCCCTTGCCAACCCAATGCTTGCTCAATGGGCTCATGAAGAAGCCAGGATGGCAGGGGATGGAAGCGAGGAACTTGGCTCAACAGCACAAATTCCCCCTCACCAAAACTGAAAACCTGACTGGCTACTGCCTCTGCCGAGTGCCCAACTTGCCAGCAATAGTAATCAACACTGAGTGCCTCCATGGCTCCTTCCTTCAAGGGGACTGGCTGGGGGTGGATGGATAACATATATTCGTTGTGGGAGGCACCCAACACTGCCCTCACCCTTGGAACTATCAACTGCTGAGAAAAGGTCCCCAGCCCCACTCACAGCTTCAGTGATCTGTCTATATGAGGAGCAGGCAGAGCTGAAGAAGAATGTACATGGGTCACAACATGTCCCCTCCCCTTCATACCATAACACAGACACTCAGAAGACACACTGGCTCACATGCACTCCACACACATGCATGTGTCTACACTCAACAACACACAAGCATGTACACATGCTGCCAGCCTTCCTACAGATCCCTCAGTTACACACATAAACACACAAGTGATCAGACATCTCTGCAGGGACTGTGACCTTTCACGTTTGTACACTGAACCAGGCCCCCAGAACTCACTGACACCCACACCCTCCACCCCCAACTGCTCTGTTGGCTGTTATTTCCAAAGACTCCATCAGGCACATCTCCATCTATCTAGAGTGACACCTATCAGAGGTGGCTATGGACTTGGGGCATGAAGACTACAATCATTTCATGATGGAGCCATCTTCATGGCACATCCCCTAGACCAGGACACCCCCTCCTCCTCTCACATTCCACCCATTAAAAAACTGGACCTCTCCCTCTCCTGTCCAAGTCACTTCCCCACCACAGGGTGGCCCTTGGCTGACGCCCGGCAAATAAAGAATAGTTTGTGGATAAAGCCCCCTTGTCGGCAGACAGGAGGCCAGAGGTTGTGCTTTGAGCCTTTCCCCACTTGGGTCTGTTTCTCTATTAGGTATACATTGCAGTGGAAAAAAAAAAAATACTAGTATGAGATAGGAATTAGGAAACTTTTTTTTCTAGCCCCAGCACTGCCATTCACAAGCTATCTGACTTTGGACAAACTGCTCCCTCCCTGAGCCTCAGTTTCCCCATCTGTAAAATGGCCTCCGAGTTTCAGCCCTGCTCTAAAAGTATCAGGAATTATTCCTAGGCAAATCAATCTTCTTTGGAACAAGAATCTTTACAAGAAGAAAACTCATTATAATGGCAACTAATCCATATTCATCTGTTTGCTACATATTATCTTTAAAACTCTTCTTCATGCTATTTGAATGCATCCCCAATATCTCAAAGGTTTAGGCTATATATTCCCACACGGCACTAGAGGCTTCTGATGTGGGCCTGTCTCTCCCCCATCAAACTTTGTAAGCAGGAGCAAAGCCCACAAGATTTCCCTGGAAAAGCAAGAGTCAAAGTGGGATCAGGATAGACACCAGAAAAAATCTTGGAGTCTCTGTCCTAAAAACTATAAGCCACCTGCTGAGCCTCAAACCCAATTAATTACCACTCTTTTGACCCTGCCAATCCCGCTGTTGTGTAAGACCTCTCTCCTATTTCTCCCACTTGCTCCCTAATGATCTAGTTCCCCAGGTCCCACCTCTCCTGAATCTCTCCAGCCCACCCCTCCCTGCCCGAACCCCATTCCTGTCTCAATCTTTCCTGCTTCTGCACTCACCAGCCCCTGGGCCAAGGACAGAGAACAGCAACAGCAGCAATAGGGCTGGCGGCAGCTGAAACCCAGACTTGAGTCTAGGCTGGGAGAGGGGCAGAGTATGAGAGATGGGGGGGACTAGCGGGAGAGACTTGGGTAAACACAGAGATGAGGGCAAAGGCTGAGATAATGGGTTGGGCTGGGCTGGACATTGGGGCTTGAACAAGGGCAGGGAGTGGGATGGAAGGAGGGGCTGTGACGGGGACTGCAGCAAGGACCCGGGTTGAGCCAGGGCCTTAAGCAAACACTGGGAATGGGGATGGGACAGGGCCTGGACTGGGATTTGTGACAGGGGGTGGAACAAGGGCCGAGGCCGGGATGGGGGCCAGGCCAGGGACAGGGATTGGATGGGGGTCCTGGACGGGGCCCCAGGCAGCGGTTGGGGCCGATTTGGGAAGCGGGGCGAGGGCGGGGCCGGGGGCCAAGGCGGGGATCGGGATAGGACGAGGGGCCGGGACAAGGGCTGGGCCATGGCCCGGGGCGGGGGCGGGGCCGGACAGGCCAGCGCGGGGCGCTCTCAGAGCTGACCCGCGGCTCCGCTCCCCACCCCCGGGGGGTGGCCTCCGGTGTCCTCGCGGGCCCAGGGCGGGGGCCGAAGACCTGGGTGGTAGTTCAGGCCTGAGCGACTCCGGGCTGCGCTGAACCGGCGATAACCAGGCCCAGCGGCGGCGGCCTCGGCTTGACGTCGGCGTGACGCCCCGCCCCCTGCCGGCTCGATTGGTCCCTGTCAGTAAAGCCCGCCCCTGCCCTACTCTATTGGTCCCCAACTTAGTCCTGCTGGGCTTCGAGGACACACAGACTCCGCCCCCGCCCCAGCTACCGGAGACCCTGCCTTTCTCACCCCAAGCACAGAGCCCGAGGACCCCTCAGATACTCACAGCCCCCAACGACCGCCCCACAGATATCTCAAGGGAACCCTATACTGACAATCCCAGACTTCCGCGGACGTACACTCAGATCTCCGCAGATCCTACCCAGACACTCGCTCACTGAGATTCCGCAACACACCCCACTTTTCAAAAGTGAACCCTCTGGGTTCGTCCCCTCGAGGCCCAATGTAACCCCCTCAGGAGACCTCACCCACCGGGGAGGGTTGACCGCCGTTGCCACAGAGACTACCAGGCGTTCCGGTTGTCCTGGTGACCGGTGCCTACTCTCCAGGCCCTTGTTCCAGAGGCTTCAGTCAAGCTCCTCCCTCGTCAGCCCTGGACCCCTCCTCCCTCCCCACTTCCCCAGGTCAGGCCAGAGCTCCTTTGTGAAGTTCTGCAGATATCCAAGTCCCCTCCCTAAATAGCAGACTTTCAGGCAAGGCATTTCAACACTCAGCGTCTGCAGCTGGGACTCATCCACAACCAACAGCCTTCCCTCCCTGAGGATCAACACCTCCCCCTGCCATCCTAAGGCAAGGCCTTAACCTAAGGACTTGTAACAACCTAGCCAAAGCCCAGAGGTAGGTAATTTCTCCAACAGCCCTCCCTCTCCTTCCCCTAACACCTCTGTCTCTCTCCCACCCTTCAGTCCCTTCACAGTCTGTACATGGTGGTGGTGGTGGTGGTGTTTGAGATGGAGTCTCGCTCTGTCACCCAGGCTGGAGTGCAGTGGTGCCATCTTGGCTAACTGCAACCTCCACCTCCCAGGTTCAAGTGATTTGCCTGCTTCAGACTCCCCAGCAGCTGGGACTACCGGAGCCTGCCACCATGCCCGGCTAATTTTTGTATTTTTAGTGGAGACTGGGTTTCACCATGTTGGCCAGGCTGATCTTGAACTCCTGAACTCAAGTAATCCACCCGCCTTGGCCTCCCAAAGCACTGGGATTACAGGCGTGAGCCACCATGCCTGGCCCACATCCTGCACTTTTCATCCTTACTTTCCTCCTCCACCCAATCCTCCTTCCCTTCTCTTTCCCCTTCCTCACCTTTCATCCTCTGGTTCTCCACCCTTAGGTCCCTTTTCCCTCTAGCTGACTCTGGTCATTTTCCTCCCCATAATCCTACCTCTCCCCCTACTTCCCTTCCCAAGTGTTCCCTTCAAAAAGGCTCTGATGAGATTAAGGAGTGATATATCTAGTGTCTCTGAAACATGAGGGGAAAGTAGGGAGAACGGAAAGTTAAGGCAGGAATACTCAGGCTGTGTTGAAAATGATGACAGGCCTTTAATACCAGGGCCGAGAAATTTAGACTTAATCCCTTAGACTGAGTCATGGCATGTTTATAAGCCACAAAGTGCCAGTGATGGGATTGCACTTTAGAAAGATCCTGATTGGGTCAGGAAGGAGGACTACATCCTTGCAGGATAAATTAGGCATATCGCCTCCCAACAGCATCCTACGCTCACCCCAGCACAAAATCGCTTTATTTGTATTGCCATTGTTGGTTAATCGGTCTCTCTGTTAGACTCAACTCAATCTAGAGCTTAGGAAAAGCATCAGATTAGGCTCTTTGTAAAAGTGTAAGTTACATAAATTAATGAAAGAATGGGTGAATGGATTAAAGTGCTGTGGATGGAAGTAGAGGGACAAAGTTATTACACAAAGGCTAATGATGATGCAAACTTGAATAAGATCGGAAGAGAGAGGAGAGAATGCATTTGGAGAATATTTAGAAGATAGGAAATGCAGTCATTGGTGATATTTGAAGATGGAGTCTAAGGGAAAAAGAGAAGACTAGGATAATTCCAAAAGTTCAGTTTTGATGCCTGTGGAAACACCCAGTGAGAAATGACCATCAGGGCCGAGTGCAGTGGCTCATGCCTGTAATCCCAGCACTTTGGGAGGCTGAGGCAGGCAGATCACCTGAGGTCAGGAGTTTGAGACCAGCTTGGCTAACACAGTGAAACCCGGTCTCTACTAAAAATAAAAAAATTAGCTGGGCATGGTGGCACACACTTGCAATTCCAGCTACTCAGGAGGTTGAGGCAGAAGAATCACTTGAATCTGGGAGGCAGAGGTTGCAGTGAGCTGAGATTGCGCCACTGCACTCCAGTCTGGGCAACAGAGTGAGACTCAGTTGCAAAAAAAAAAAAAAAAAAAAAAGGAAGAAAAGGCCAGCAGGCAGGTGGGTATAAGTGTGAAGTACAGGGTGGGGTTGAAAAAGGTCTGAGCTAGAAGTATGGATTTAGGAGTCATTGGCACATAGCTGGAAGTAGTTGAAGCTTTGAACATGAATGACATTATCAAGGAAGGAGGATGTGTGTGGTGCCTAGACAAAACCAGGCTACGTGCAGGGTCTTGCATTATGTGACATAGTATTCCTCTGCACTTCAGGAGCCAACCCCAGCTTTGGCTTGGTATTCCCAGTCTCTAGAACTCCATGGCTTGACCTCCAGGGTTTTAAGATATGCCAAGGACCCTGCTCTTGGACTGGCCAAGTGGCTATGTTCAGACTCCCTCCTGGGACATGGTTCTCTGCTACCATCTACTGATGGGATTCTATTCCAGCCTTCTAATCTTTAAGTTCAGCTCCCTAGCAAGCCACAGCAACATGCCATATGAGGTCTGGACATATAGGTGTAGGTGAAGCTCCTGGATCACATTCTAAGACCCAGAGCACATGCTGTTTCCCTCTTATATCTCAGGTGCCCTGAGAACCTTATCCAAATTCCATAATGCACTGCGAACCCTGGGCTCTGCCCTGACTTGCAGGCCCTCTAATTCCAACCTAATGAAGCCTGTACCTTGTTCTACCACTAGATGGAAGCAGACGAGGTCACAGAAGAGCCTCATACCACCGTGGATGCAGAGGAGCACCCCTCTTCAAAAGACCTGTCTGCTGAGGACTTACAGGAGAACCATATCTCTGAAAGCTTCTTGGAGCCTTCCACCTCTGAGACCCCCTTAGAGCCCCATATCTCTGAATCCCCTTTGGTGCCAACCCCTTCCCAGACCCCTTTAGTGGCCCATTCCTCTGAAACCCATCAGGAGCATTCCACCTCAGAGACCCCTTCAGAGATCCCTACCTATGAGGCTGCATTAGATAGTCCCATCTCAGTGGTGCCAAAGAAACACCTAACTCTTCCTCCCCAATCAGTAGACTACATCTCTCTGCTTTCCTCTGATACTTTGAAGGAAGACCTCTCCTCTGAGTCTTCTTCCAATGAGGTCCCATGGACAAGGAGGTCTACCCATCTCTCTGAAACCGAGAGCCTTCCAGAGCACTCCCTTTCAGGCCCTTCAGCCCAGGTCCAAATGGACACACCTGAAAAGCAGAAGGAAGAAGCAGGAGAGACTGAAAAGGGGGTAGATGCCAGTGACAGCACTGCTCACACAGCCCACCCTGGACACCAGCTGGGCAAGAAGAAGAAGAAAGGAGTTAGCCGTAATTGCTCCTATCCTCTCCCCTGTCCTATTCTCATTACTGTTCACCGTCCTTGACTCACCCCAGGAGGAGGAGACTGGGTTACTCTTGGACATGGCCCCTTCTCTTAGTTTTAGGGCCTCCTGGTTACTCAGCCCCTCCCATCCTAGGTTACACAGCCCGCCCAGTGGTCCCTGCTAAGCAGGCAGAGCTGGTGGAAGTGGCTAAGGCAATGCACAAAGAGAAGTTTGGTGCTCAAGTGAACAATCTTTTCCAGTGGGAGAAGGATGCAGCCCTGAATGCCATCCAGACAGGTGAGCCCATGTGGTCTTTCAGAGGCCTGTGACAGGCCATCCTCTAATCCAAAAGACTCTGGGAACCTGAACATTCAACAGATAGCTGCCCCTTTTGGAAAGGGCAATACCACCTGCCTGGAAAGGGTGCAGGCAAGTGGGCCAAGGAATACAAGGGTGGATGCAGGCAAGAAGTGGGGAGATTCATCTAAAGCCCAGGTAGAGACAGGCAGCTAAACTAACATTATTGAAAACAGAAGGGTCATGGGCCCACCCCAGATAGAGGGCCCAGAGAGCCTACAGACCCTAAAGCAGAGATGGCCCAGGACCCTGGACAGTCCCCAGAAGACTTGCTGTTCTGACATGACAAAGACCTTAGACGCCCTGGCGGAACTCCATTAAAAGGCGGAACTCCATTAAAAAACCCCTGTGTGCCAGCCCCATGCTGGATACCCAAAAGCTTTAAGTTTTCTTATAAAAGGAGAGAGCCATGTCCTCTGGCCCTGCTGTTTCCAAGCCTCAGCCTACAATTAGTACTCTTGGCAGTCCTATTAGTGGCATGCTATGTACAGATGAGCTTATAAAAACATGCCGTCCTGTGTGTGAGCATGTCTACCTGTGTTATGGAAATTCATATCTATAGGGATTACCTTCAGTAAGAAGGCCACCCGGACATGGTATAAGGATTCTGGTATTTCTAGACTGAATTCTGCATTTATTTTGGTCCCTCATACTTCCTTTCCCTATATTATGTACAGCTATAATGAAAGGCCTAAAATATAAAGACAACCAGGTAATTCTAAATGCTTATCCCTCCTCCATGAAATTTACTTTCCCTTTTCCCGTACAGGAACCCTCCAGCACTCCGGCCTCACCACCCCTGCACCACTACCACCGAGCCAAGAAAGTCATAGTGATCTCATTTGTTTCCTAGTCTCAATTCAGGCATTGAAATAGCTTTGTTTGCTTATATTAATATATTCAGTTACTCTTATTTGCTTGTAAATGCTGGTTGGCAAGGTGGCTCACATCCATAATCCCAAAACTTTGGGAGGCTGAGGCAGGAGGATCATTTAATTGCCCAGGAGTTAGAGACCAGCCAGGACAAGATAGTGAGATCCTATCTCTACAAAACTAAAATAAAATAAAATTATCCAGGCATAGTGATGCATGCCTGTAGCCCCAGCTATTTAGTAGGCTGAGGTGGGCGGATTACTTGAGCCCAGGAGGTCAAGCCTGCAGTGAGCCATGATTGTGCCAGTGTATTCCAGCCTGGGTGACAGAATGTCTCAAAATAAAAATGCAGGATGTGTTCAGTCATCTTATTCCCCTTCTCAGAACCTCCTATCTACTCCCCACTCCTCAAAGCCACTGTATTTCTTTTTTTTTTTTCTTCAAATTGAATGCCTTCATCTTCCTGTTTAAACAGGAAGCTTTATAAAGAAATTTGTGTCATTCAACCCTGAACAATTATATTTGAAGTCCCCTCCTAGTAGTGGGAATGTTGAGTCCTGGGTAGTCCTTAACAGTATATGTGATATGTACAGAAATATCAAGTGTAACCTTTGCTTTTATTCATTCAACGAACATTTATTGAGCACTAACTGTGTGCCAGGCATTGAGCTAGCTATGGAAGTGGTAATGCTGGTGGGGGTTCAAAGGCAAAATACTTTGTAATCTAATGAGAGATACCAATAAGTAAAAGGACAATTATAATTCACTCTAATAATTGCTATAATCAAGATTATCCCACACTGCTGCATGAGCAGAAAAAAAGGGACATCTTATCTGGAGTGCTTGAGGAATAATAAGCCTTGGAAGGAATGACTTCTCAGCTGATATCTGTAAGATGAGTAAGAAGAGGTGGCCAAGTAAAGAGTGGTGTAAGATGAGACAGGACAGGGTAAGGCATGGCAGAAATCTATAGCAATGCACTATGCCTGATGCATAGGGCGCTGGGGAGAAGAGCCAGCTTAGCTCCAGAAGGGCAGAATTGTGCAGGCATTTCTGTGCCAAGCTAAAAAGCTAGAATTATATCTCGAGGGCAAGTGAGAGTCACTAAAAGATTTTATGTAGGACAATAATGTGAACAGATTTGTGTTTCTGAAAGATCACTCTGGTAATCAGATAGACCAGAAAAAGACAAGACTGGAGTTGTGAGGCTGAGAGGAGGTGTGGAAAGGAAACTGAATACATTGTGAGGTACTGGTCATAATCCAGGTAAGAAGTAGATGGGTGTAGGTGGAGAGAAGTGGACAGGTTCAAGAAATGCTAACAGACTGAGTGTGATGGCTCACCTGTAATCCCAGCACTTTGGGAGGCCAAGGCAGTCTGATTCCTACACTACACTGATTCCTACACTAGTGCTTGGGTTACCTGAGGCCAAGAGTTCAAGACCAGCCTGGCTAACATGGTGAAACCCTGTCTCTACTAAAAATATAAAAAATTAGCCGGGTGTGGTGGCAGGCACCTGTAATCCCAGCTTCTTGGGAGGCTAAGGCAGGAGAATTGGGGTTGCCCTGAGCCAAGATTGCACCACTGCACTCCAGCCTGAGCAATAGAGTGAGACTCTGTCTTAAAAAAAAAAAAAAGGAAAGAAATGCTAACAAAGTAAAACTGACCATTGAAACACTGGATGTATAGGACAAGAGAGAGGAAAATGCCGGGAATGACACCTAAGTTTTTGGCATAAGTAAGTGATAGGATGATGGTGCCATTCACTGAATGCCTGAAAAAGGGTAGACGCTTGGTAAGCATGTGTTGGATGAACAGAGGACAAAGATGAGAGCCAGGTTTGGAGGGAATAATTGGGTGTAAGATTTGAGGTGCTTATGAAACATGCTGGTGCAAGAGTCTACTAGACAGCTAGCTATATGGGTCTGAAGCTCAGGAGAGAGGGCTAAGCTAGAGACATTGTTCCTGAAAAGACAGCTGTGTGTTTTATGGAGACATACTATGCATAAAGATATGTCATCATGCAAATGTGACTGTGATTGTGGAACTGGACTGTGTTAGAATCAAAATGGTATCCCAGGTAATGTCTCCTCCCCCTGCCAGACCTTGTCCACCCACAACAGGAAGGGATTCTGGATTCGGGACAGAGAGTAGAGGGTCCCACTGGAATCCACAGCCACCTTCCAATTGTCCCACTTTAAGAGCACTAACACTTGTAATAGAATCTGAAGTATAGTTGCCAGTCTCCCTGTTCAAACTCCAGTCTTCATCTGAATGCTGGGTTCTGATTCCTACCCTAGTGCTTGGACTTGACTCCTCCCCCGCCCCCCACCCTGGGCCCTCAGAGCAGGCCTTGATCCATGGGCCTCACCTCCTGCTTTTTAAATGCATCCTGCTACTCCAGACAGAATTCAGAACTCCCCTAGTGGAATCCTGGCTCCTGCCCACCCCCATTGTGACTGCCTATACCCTGCTCTTTCAACAAAGCCTCCCTGGTGTAAGGGGGCACTGGTACTACAGGCAATCAGCATCAAGACAGAAGCAGCAAAGCCAAAAGCCACAACTGGACAGGATTTAGATCCTGACAGACTATGGGTAAGATATGAAAACATAATCTGAGGCACAGAATTGTGAATTGTGGCCCTGACCAGAGTCAAAGACCAGAGGATGCCACTCTCCTTAAACATCTTAGGGGAGCATCAGGATTATGCCTGAATACTGGCTCTCTCTTCGTCTTAATTAGCTCATTTGTTTAATCAGGCAATCTATGTTCTCTCAGCAACTGTTCTGTGCCAGGCCCTGTGCTAGGATGAGAGATATGGGTGAAAAGACAACTTCCTTGAAGAACTCATGGACTAATGGGAATACAAGGGAATGGTCTATTATAATGTACTGTAACTTCTCCTGTCTGTCTGGTCCCCTCCTCTTACCATCTGTAGCTCCTTGTGTTACTCCTATCCCAATACAATGCATTATAATAAACCATTTTTGGTGGAGGTGACATTTCAGCTGAGCCATTAAGTGGAACTAAGAATCCTATACCTGGAGGTCCCACTCCATGAGGCCTCATACAGGATTCCTGGCTAGAAGTTGGGGTGCTCTCAGCTCTCATGGATGAGAAAATCTGAATGGTAGGTGCCATCTGGTTAACCTCCCACAGTTGCACAGCACCACCCTCACCTCAAGACTAGTCACGAACAGGGAGTCACAGCTCACTGCTGAACACCAGCTCTCAAGGGCTGTGACCTCTTGCTGGTGCCTACTCTCAGGGACGCTTCTTAGTCTCACTTTCCTTTCCACACTTCCCTGCTTAGCCTCACAATGTATAATTTTTGGTCTTCACCACTCATGACTGCTACCTACCCCTTTCTCCTCACCCTTGAAGAACCTTTGGCAGCCCCTCTTAAGTACATAGAGAGCATTGATACAACAGCACTAGGAACACAGAGGGAAGTATTAAGGTACCAACCTGGAGAAGTGAGAGGAAGCCCTTCTCCTGCCTTTCAGCACCAGTGCTGTCCAGCCTCCTCCTCCTCTTCAGGACCTTCAATAACCATGCTCCTTAGGAGCCAGTCTTCATTGTCTGAACATCTGGCCAGTCATCTTCCCTTTCCCTCACCTTAGACGCTTCAAGTGAACAAAGTGTCTAAAGGGCTTTAGTGGAGTGAGGAGAGGAGATGAGAATCGCCGTGGTTACAGAGAACTCATTGATATTCATGTTGATCCTCAAACAAAATTTCATCTATAATCTTCCTGCTCAGAAACCGAAGACTCTCTTGAGTCATCTCTGGCAGGCTGACGGAGATGGAGTAGATCCTGGGTAGAATGAGAACTGAAGCCACTAGTGGGGTAATGAGCAAACCCTGAGGAAAAAGAAAGTCTAAGGGGTAGAGGCGAGGACTTCCAGGTGGAGGTAAAGATACCTGGGAGTGGGGAGAGGTAAGTTCCCCCCACCCCTCACCCCCATCAAGGGATAGGTAAGACCAGTTCGGGAGAGCTTAGGATTTTTTACCTTCTCACTTTTCCTCATTAATCCTGCACACCTAGGTCTCTACATTGGCTGGCGCTGCCCCCATTACCTATGGGACTGTTTCCGGATTGGGAGTGAGTCCAGATGCTTCTGTGGACACTTGTTGAGAGAGCACCAGATCATCTCAGGTAGGGAAGAACTGACCAGCCTCTCTCAGGTGTGGAGGGATAACTGTACTCTGTCATGTCTTGGGAAGTATGAGAGAAAGCATGTGTGCGTGCATAGGGAGCGGGGCTGGGGGAATGGAGGAGGGGATTGGCATGACAAGGCAAGGTTCTATCAGATGCTGGTCTAACTCTAACCACCCATCCCCATTCCCACAGACATATCGGTGCCCTGCAAGGTGAGCCAGTGCCGCTGCCTCATGTTCTGCTTTATCCCATCACGCCCAGAGGAGGTGGGTGAGTTCTGGCTCAAGAGACGGGCCACCTTTGACCCCAAGGCCTGGAGGGCCCAATGTCGCTGCAAACATAGCCACGAAGAACATGCAGCCAGTGGGCCCCATCCCTGCAGGCATCATGGTAACTTCTAGGTCAAGGGGCATATTGGGAGCGGGGTAGGTGGGAATAGGATGCAGCCTGGGGATAATGGTGGGGAGCAGGTATGAGAGCCTTGGGCATGCGGTCAGTGAGGAAGAGATGAGAATGTGGTTAGCTCCTGGGAATGCCGCCATTTCCTGAACTCTTCTTGGCTGCACTTTTGCCCCAGGCTGTTGCTGCAGCTGTTTTGAGTCTAATTTCCTCTGTGCGGCCTGTGACCGGTGCTGGGAGGACCATGAGACTTTCTTTGAGACTCAGAAGACCCGGCAACGAGGAGGGAGGCCTTACGGTGAGGCAAAAACCTGGGACGGGAGCCATTCCAGGGTCTGTAGTCAGAAGGCCTGGCAGGAAGGCTCCCATCCTCAACCATCCCCTCTAGGACTAGCGCATTCCCTTAGCCCTCAGCGCATTCCCTCCCCACCACCCACCCACCCACATCCCACATCTGTACTGGTTTTCACCCCCAGGAGCAGACTATATACCTTTTGCAGAGATGCCTGTCCTCCGAGAAGCCATCCTCAGCAACTCTGACTTTGAGGCCCTGCAGATACAGGGGCCCTCTGGCCTTCCCAGCTCCCGCCCTAGTCCCCTGGGACTCCCTGGCCCACACACCTTTCAGCCTAGCCCCCCATCTGAGCCCCATACCTGATCCTTTCACCTCTGCTCTTCCCTCCTCCAGGGACAGACACTGTCAGCAACTGGCACAGGCCTTTGTGAGTCTGGCCCAGATCAGCAATAAAAGAGGAGTCACTGGAACCTGACTTGGCTCTATATAGGGCAGACAGGTCCCAGCCCAGGGAGAGACTGCCTAATAACTTAGAGTGAACACTTCTTAGGCACAGTAGAGAGCCTGGATCCTGCCATCTGCCTCCATCACACCCACATTCAAGCTGCCTGCTCTGATATCAGAAGGAAAGTGGCTTCAAGGGAGCCAAAAAGGAAGAAAGTCTCAAGAAGGATAGAGTAGGAAGTGATGTTAGATACAGTTGGGGCACCAATAGATAAAGACTGAAAAGCATCCAATGGGTTTTGTAATTAGAAGATCTTTGGGAACTTCAGACAGTGCAGTTTCACACTGGCACAGTGAAGGCAGGAGTCAAATAGCAGTGAATTTCAAGGAGTCTCTTAAAGAAGCTTGGGTGAAAAGTGCAAAAGAAAAGTCAGACAATATCCAGAGGGAGTTGTGGAGTCAAGGAAGTACTTTTGTGGGAAGGAAAAGGGAAAGAGGCCAGTGGACAAAGGGACCTTAAAGAACCCAGAAGAGAGAGGAGAGATGCCTGGTGAGACAAGATCCCAGAGATGGAGGAAAGGGACGAGGTCAAGACAGAGGTGAAGGGATTTGCTCTGAACAGGAGAAACACCACTTCCTATCACCAAGAGGAAGAAAGAGGATGGAGCCTTCAAGGAGTTTCAGGAAACAGGAACCTGTAGAAGTTCCCCGTAGATGGCTTCTATATGCCCTGTGAAGTAGGAGATAAGACCAGCCATTTGTCCAGGGGGAGAGGGATAAGCGTGAGTAGGAAGCAGGAGACAAGAAAAGGGAAGGTTTGGGAAGGCTAATGTAGGGAACTGGAGAAAAACCTGATCAGTGGGTAGTTTAGGATTCAGGCACAGTTGGAAGTGAGAACCTAGTTAGAGGAGCAGAGAAACCAAATATTTAATGGGTTGGTGATGGGAGAAAAATGAAGCAAAAGAAGACATAAGGATGTGAAAGGAGCATACGGTACCAATAGGGAAAGAAAGTGATGCCAGGAAGCAAATGACAGATTGGAAAACGGAGCAATCAAAGGAAGAGAAGTCTGTAATAAGGCCCAGTAGGAGACATTGTTCAGAGGCTGCAGAGCATAACATCTTTCAGATGAGGGCAACTGTAGGTGATGACGAGTGCTTGGAGTAGAGAAGACTGTGGGCCAGGGATCAAAATCAGTGAATGTGGGAAGTGACTAGGAAGTCCATAGATTCTTCTGGGAGTAGGAGATTCGAACACTAATGGGCTCTGTGACCCCAGGCAGGTCACTGTCCCTCTTTAGGCTGAGTTTCTGGATCTGTAAAACAGGAATAACCTCTGTGTTGCCTGCTTTCTATGAGAACCAAAGAAATAACTAATTTAAAAGTGCTTTGTATTCACCTACCCTCCAGACTGGCTTCCTTCCTCTTCCTAGATCCTAGATCCACTTATCCCTTTCCCTTCTCCAGGGCAACTCTAGGGTCTCTCAGTGTCCCAGAGGCACCACAGAGAACTGCAACCTCTGGGGCCCAAGGAGGCCATTCTATACGTCCTCACAGTTGGGGGGCCATCTGTCCCTCCAAGGGAAGGAATGCAATCTGGACTCCTAGGATCCCTGGGGAAAATCATGGAATCAAATGTCTGCCCTTTCGAGGAGAAAGGACTTTTTTTTTTTTTTTTTTGAGACGGAGTTTCGCTCTTGTTACCCAGGCTGGAGTGCAATGGCGCGATCTCGGCTCACGGCAACCTCCGTCTCCTGGGTTCAGGCAAT